TGACTTCTGCAGTTCAGAAATTTCATTTGCAATTCAGTTTTGCTGATCATCAAATTGCTTTTGTCTTTTTTCTTCAAGAGCAAGCTTTCATTTATGAAATGCATTACAACAGAATTAACATGAGCTGGTGAATTCCACTCTGACTCTGAATAGCATCACGTATTTGTTGTAATGCTACTAATAATTCTGTGTGTTAGTTCTCAATAAACATTCCTTTGTTTACAGAAAATTCATATTCAACATATGAACTTCCATGGATAGCACGATGGTTTTCAACCAGGTGCTGCAAAATTTAGAGCTGAGTAACACCATAATACTTTTATGTACAAGGATGCTGAGAGGGGGCGACAAAGAAGAAAATTGCCCTAGACCCCGAGGAAGTGGAAGCTCCCACACAATGTGGATAAACAAACAGTATTTGAAAAGTATTTACAAACTAAATTTTATATTTCATAAATATTTTAACTTGTTTGAACAATTTTTGTCTTAAAATTAAAATTGATTGTTTACAGACATATACATATTTACATAAATTTAATTTGCTATAGGGGCTTATATATATATTTTGTCCTAGACTTCCATTATACTTTAGATGACTCTGCTTATGTATATTACTAAAAGTGTGAAAAGTGCAATAACTCTACATTGGTAAAATAGGGGTGCCACAAGAAAAAATTTATCAAGTTGAGTACACTATTAGAAAAAGGTTGAGAAACATTGGGATAGCACTACTAGGCATATGCTTTGGCATAAACTTGTACATATTTTGCAATTCCATCTTTTCATTGAGCAAGCTGAAGTATATTTTGTTAAGTCAATCATCACAGGTCCTTTACAACAAGGAAACCAAGGAATTTGGTGAACTTGCTTGTTAATATCTGCCATCACTGCAGTTAGATGGATATATTTTGTGAGCTCCTCCAAAGCCAGTTTCAGGAAAGTTTGACTTTTTTGGTGAATCACATTTGGATTCAGACAAGACACACCTTTTATTATACAATCTTGATCTTATAGGGATGCACTCCAAAGTTTATCCTCCCATATGGCATTGAATGATAATCCTATAAGAAGTTGAGCTGATCCAATTCACTGTATGATGCTTTGGACACAGACTGTTAGCAATTCTCTCTGAAAAGCTCTTAAGGATTCTAGTTGGCTTGTAAATGATTGGAAAAATTCCAGTTTTGAAGGTAGAAGATCTTTAAGCAACTCCTTTTACTGTATTGAAAGTTGAACTTTTATGTTCTTTTTTTGTTTACAATTAAATGCGAACAAAACTTTTTTTATATTGGAAAGAAGAGATAAGACACATTTTGTAATCATGATTTTCAGTCCATCTTGTTTGACAAAATTTTTGTGGAAATACTGTACTTTTAGCATAAATGATAAAGTCTGCTTGCTGAGCAGGCATTTAATCCTTGAACAAATAATACAGCAATCTCACATCTCTCTAAATTCCAATACACTCTCATATCTAGTTTGAAATCTCCCATTCAAGATGTGTAGACAACTTCTTTCCTGTCATATCAAAAAATATCAAACCATTTGGATCTTCCTCTTGCATTTCTTCTTTCAATAATTACATAAACTTCAAGTTCATGTCTGAACCATCCATGGAAATTTAAAGAAAAGACTTAAGATTTAAACAAGAACATGCAGTTTGAAGCCAGAAAGCAAACCTTTAGTAGAAGAATGGCCAAGGAAGACAAATCTAAGATATCTGGTTGTAATTTTATTAAAATATAATCCCAAAAACAAACATCCAACTGTTCTCTTTATGCTACTTTATTAAAAATTTCATCAAAGCACAGTGTAATCTTATCTTGCTTCATGCAACAAGAGCCTAGCTGATCATAAAAATGGGAAGTAACACCATACACTATTCTATATCCAACCTTTCCTTCTTCATGGTAAATTCCTTATCACTGTCAGAGAACATTTTCATCAACAATTCCACTAAACTGTCAAAGAATTGAAACAAATGACAGCATACAACTATATTCATTCTATTAAAATTTCTGCCAATGTTACTGCATTTTGAAAGAATTCAGCTTACTGATGCTAGAGGTAATTTTATCTTCAGTTTCAGTGAACTCATTAGATAAACTGGAACTAACCTTTGCAAAGTAATTTGTTACAAGTTGCTTTGTCTGTAGCTACATTCTGTTTGGAAATTTGTTTCTTTCATCATTTGTAACAAACGGAATAATAAATACAGTCAAACTTAGTTATAATGAGCATTAGGGGACTGGCAAGATTTACTCATTATAACTGTTACTTGTTATATCTATAAAGAGCAATAACATAACTAGGGGAAAATGGGCTGTTACCTCAGGCACAATCATGTAAGGGGTGCCTGTGGTACCTGTGGGTGGTAGATTTGTAGCTATGTTAGCAATAATTAGTGAAATCTATAGAGATTTTTCAAAATTCCCCCACAGGGGGAGAGGGAGAGCATTAAGGCTTAACCAGAAAAACGTCTTCTACTGTACTATTTTAGATGAAATTTTTTGTTTTTACGTTTAGTCTTCATTGAGTACTTAGGTGTATTAAATTGATAACATTTCAGGCATTGTTATAAATATTTTCATATATTTCGATTTTTTAACCAAATGTTCAAACTATTTTAAATTTGAATTTGTTATTGCATGTTGGTTCGATTATAGAATGATTGTAAACGTTCCAGAAAATTTATCAAATCGAAAACAGTTCATTTGATTCTCAGCAATTCTCATTACAGTCGACCCCCCTATAACACAGTAGATACATTCTGTTCTTTATGAAATTGATGTTCTAAGAGTCCTTGAATACATGAGCCAATCACAGCCCGGCACATATGCAGTTTACAGACTATGGCTGTTTGAAAGGTTTTCTTCCGTAAAATTAATCGATTCTAGACTAATTCGACTCAACATTTCCAAAATACGTATAATTTTTTGGGAATAATCTATATAAACTATGCTATAAACAAAAAATTGTAGGATTACTTACCGATTGTATACCGTTCAACGACACAATTGCTTAAGCTTGTTTTTGTCGTGGAGATTGTCATTGAATGGCACTCAACATTTCCAAAATACGTATAATTTTTTGGGAATAATCTATATAAACTATGCTATAAACAAAAAATTGTAGGATTACTTACCGAGTGTATACCGTTCAACGACACAATTGCTTAAGCTTGTTTTTGTCGTGGAGATTGTCATTGAATGGCACTCGGGTGTTCCTGATAAATTATTTTTTTTTTTTGAGAAAAATTCACTGATCTTTGGAGACATCATTAATATAAATATAATTTTTATGGAAATTAAATAATAAATGGTTTTTAGTAGGTCCACTGCTCATTTAAACTCAACGGTTTGTACAATATCCGCTATTGATCTAGATTCGAACAATCCTGTCACGATACGAGTCGGCGATGACGTTTTACCGAATTATACGAGTTTTATTAGCATGTTTGTACAAATACAGTTGCAATTTTTTCACCATGATACAGGAATCCATGTTATAGGGGGATGGACTGTATTCTCAGCAGTAGGTGTTATATAACAATTACTATGGTTGTTGAAATACTGAATACAAATGGGGTTTACTTGCAAAACCACCACAAGCAAAGTCGTGGGTAACAGCTAGTTCTAAATAAGTTGATTAAAAAATATGTAATTATATTATATTGTGTTTTTATTAATAGTTATATAAACTACAATATAATTAATATTAAACAATTTATTTTTTCATAATTTAAGAAAATACTAATTAATAATATGTCCGATTTCAGTTAGTCCTTTTATCTACAAATCTTAAAATTGATTGCTTTATTTTTTGATAATGTCAATACTGTTGAAGATGACAAAGAAAACTTTCTAACACTTTGACAATTTCAGCACCACATTCTAACCTGTAAATATTTTCTACTTTTTCATAAACCAAGAAACATTTTCTTTTCTTCGTAGACATCCTTGCCATATAAGAGTGTGTTTCTAACTAGAGTATATGGCAATTTTACAATCGTAAAATTCATATCATATTCTATCGTCAAATTCGTATCATATACTATGTAATCATATTCATAGTGATGATTAGATAAATTGGCAGAGTAGGCTGGAAGCTAGTCAAGAAAGAGGGAGACAGTCTCCAAAAAGAAAGTTAAGTGGTAAGTAGGCCTGTAATTGATGCAGGTTGTAAAACTAATTATCCAATGGTCATAATTTATCACCATTGGGTAATTAGTTTCCTAAGCAATCCTTTCAATTTTATCTATTCCAAGAATTCAATACTGCATTTCCTACCACTTGAACAATTAAGAATGTTTGTGTGTTTGCATAGCTAGTGAAAATTTTCTTATTATATTCATGAAGTATGCTCGTTACAACCATGAGAAATTTTACAGAAAATGCATAAATTAAAACTGTTATGGTGCTTGTTATAACCATGAACTCATTACATCCATGTTCATTATAACAGAGTTAGACTATATGCATTGGTAAAACAGTACATTAAGATTTTTAATTTGTCACTGGAACCACAACTGGAGTTATTAGAAAATGGCTATGAAAAGAGGAACCCGAACAGATAGCTATTTAATATGGTAGTATAACAATAAAAATATTTACTTAGCCACCCATAGAAAAGACTAATTCCTTTTACTATTTTAAGATTGCATACAATGTTAATATAAGAAAGTATCTGGAAAAATAATATTTGTTTAATAAAAAAAAAGATCTATCTTGATGTTTATTGAAAAGTTTAAATACTTTTTTACTTCCAAAATGAGTTTACTACATTAAGATGAAAAGTGGTATAGCTGAAATAATATGATCCATGTCTGATAATGATATTTGAACTTCAGCAATTGTATTAATTATTGGTGGAAGCTAACCAATTTTGTATATTTGAAAATAAAATGATTATGTTTCCAAATACAGTATTACAAGAAAACTTATCAATCTAAACATTTAAATACTAATTTTATTGTACTTAAAATACATATTCATACATACTTCAATAGGTGTTTCATCATTTGTTTCAGTCACTAATTCCATTTCACTTTCATTTTTGATGCTCTCCTTCATTCCATTTAAAAGATTAAGTTTTTGAGTATGTTCTCTACATTCTGCAGCAGTTCCTTGACAATAGACCTTTAAATAATATGAATTTTATACGAAATAAAATCTGAAATGCCATTATATTTGCAATAAAAGTAAGTTATGATTAATAAAAAAGTTAAGCATAAGTTTATGTAATTATTGACAATAACTATTAAGCATGAGTGTGTGTAATTATCAGCACTTAATATTTTATGTTAATAAAATACTAAATTTTTTTTAGTTATTTGTCGAAACCGTGTCTTCTTTTTCTTGTTTCTTCTAATTCTATGTCACGACTTGGTGCATTTATCGACACTTGGCAAATAATTCCATCATCTACTTTTAATTCTGTATGAATTAAATATATATAATATAATTCCATCATCTACTTTTAATTCTGTATGAATTAAAAGTAGATGATGGAATTATTTGCCAAGTGTCGATAAATGCACCAAGTCGTGACATAGAATTAGAAGAAACAAAAAAAAGAAGACACGGTTTCGACAAATAACTAAAAGAAGATTTTATTGTTAGAAAAAAGTTGCATTTTCCAAACTAAATGAGTATCAAGGGTGGAATTTACTATAGTTTATTCTGTCAGGGT